CACCTCCTTTCATCGAAACGTTGCGATTCCGCCGCGTAATAGCAAGGCAAAACTTGGAATATTTCCCGACCTGTAGCCACGAGCGGTGGCCATGAGAAACAAGCGGCATGACTTCACATGGGTAGTTGTAAGAAAGATAGCAAGTTGTGCGAATACCTGCTCGATAAAAGGTAACTTTTTATAAATCTTGTAGTTCCAACATATATATAAATGCGTCAAAACCCTGGTATCATCGACGAAACTTTTATTATAAGGAGGTTTAGTGGCGCCATCTATCCTAGGTCCACAAAACCGCGAACATCCACCAGAAGCCGGAGGGGGAGGGGGACAGCGCCGGACGGGCAAGGACGGGTGGTCACGCGGTCGCGAGCGGATGAGTTCTCGTTGCTCGCTGATGGCTCTAAAGAGAGAACTTATCCGGGACTCCGCGCCTACTCAAGTGACGTCACTGTGCACGTGACACGGAAGACGATGCACGAGTTGAGAGGCGGCAAAAACCTGGATCTTTTTCATTTTTTTAAATAAAAACTAGGGTATCCAGGCAAAATCTGTTTTCTGTAGTTCACTGCAGAAGTGTCAGGCATCAACTTCCACAATTATTTAAGCAAAGCCCTGAAATTGTTGCAAAGCTCCTTTAAGGGGACATGCTCCTCGAGAATATATTTTTATTTTTTTTTTTGAAGCTAGGAGGCCGACATTTCCACAGTTAGCACATAATGAGCTCCCCTTGTCATATATGTAGTCAGTTTGTTGATACCTGCCTTGGTTAAATACCTGAGCACATATGAAGGCATATAAAATGCCTTTTTTGTGCACCCTTTTTCTCTCAATTTTACTTATAAGAGAGCATCCTAAAATAGCCTCGTTGCTTCCTTGTGAACAGTAAAATGTGCAAATCCACCTAAAAAAAATAAAAAATCTATGCCTGGAAAAAACAAAAAAAGTGAACTACCGTAATATCCCGAGTCATCGCCCACCCCCCTACCGCCTGAAATTCATTAAAAAAGTGGGGTGGGCCATGTCTCGGTGGGTGATCACAAACACTTGAAAAAAGCGGAAAAAAACGCCTATTTTTCTCTGGGTATCTAGCGCTGATGCACAAGAGATACATCAAACTCAAAACTCGATTTAGTTTCATTGTTTTATATTAAAAGAAATGCTCACGAAAGAATATTTTACTATAGCGAAGTCCGTTGCTTGCATACGCGCTAGAAACACTGCCGATCTGCATATAGCGCGAACGTTTGTTCCGTGAAAGAATGTCACCATTATGTTCTCCTAGTGAGTAAAAAAAAGAAAAGTCTACAAGAAAATAGAAAAACCGACCAGGCGCAACGAGCGAGCGAGCGAGCGGACCAAAGAAGCGACCAAGAGCAATGCTGGGAAACCGGGAAAGCCGGCGGTCGCTTTGGCAAATACTTTGGCGTCGGGCCAAGTCGGGCGCCTTGTCAATTGCAAGCTCTTGCGCAACTTTCTTGTTTGGTGCGTACATACGTGCGTCCGTGCACGGCGGGCTATCAATGCACGGTTGGGACGCTCTGCAAACGTCTGTGTAGGGCGTTCCAGCAAAGCTTTATTTACGCGTTGGCTTTGCCTAAAATATTGCACAACCGCGGTCGCGACGGGCGGGAAGAAGGAGCGGGTTCGCGGTGACCTTACTTCGGCGGGGACAGACTTTGACCTAACACTCTGCGGTTACATTAACAAACTCTTATTTTGTTATCTCCATCGTTTTCTTTTCGCACGGATACACGACCACTTTGGGGTCGCTCACGGAGGAAACGCGTAAACAAAAAGAAGTGTCTATCCCTCCTTCGTTTTACTTTGTCACGGACGTCCTCCAACTGTAAGGTCCGCGGCCGCGTCATTCGGGTAGGATGAGTGTTCGCGGATCGCAGAGTCCGCGCTGGGGTATTTGAAGGGGTGGGCGATGACTCGGTGTTTTTTCGGAAATCGATATTGGCCCAAAAAATGGGGTGGCCGATGGCTCGGGGATGGGCGATGACTCGGGATATTACGGTAGTATTGAGTAACACTTTTTATGATTCACTTTTAGTTTTATAATTCTTATAAAAATTCAGTGGTGCCAATCGCATAACTAGCAATATTTTCACACTCTATATATCACTAGGAACAGCAATGCAAAATTTGGTAGCGATACAGTAACCGCAAACGGTGAAAATTGTGTGAGCAAGCTCCGAAAACGGGCAAAAATGCCAATTTGAGGAAAACTCAAATGAAAGTTTTAATTCATGTGACATGCCTAAATTCTCACTCAAACCACATGAAACTTGGTGGTAATATAGTTCCAAATGTATAAGCCTGGACCACCAAACTAGAATTCCCCCGCTGCATAGCCCAGCTCCAGAAAAAATGCCAGTCCCTTTCGTGTAGCGGCCGATTCCTGGAAGGCGAATTAGCACTTTCCGCAAGACAAGCATGGCGCACCACTAAGGAGCTTCCATCGCGCTGATCTCGCCGATCGCAGTACTCGCAAGCTCATCTCCAGCTCTCTCTTTGTTTTTAAACATCCTGATCTTTTCCGATGCACTAACGAACTCGTCAGCGCTGCCGATGAAACTCGAGCGATCCGACTTGGAAGCGTCGCAGCGTCGCCCCGACCAAGGTTAGGGTTAGCTGCCTTGGATGAACTTTTCTTCTTTGAATCTTTCCGCTTGCCCTTTTGGCGACTTCCTTTGAACGTGTGTGTCGTCCGGAACTTCCGAGCTTGACAAAGTCGCGTTTTTGGTCAACGTCAATCGCGAAAAAAGCAGAATGATCGAACAGGTCGTTGGTTCTGGTTTCCGGAGCAGTGCGAACCTAAAATTGTAAGTAAGCTTTGCTGCGCAGCACGTTGCTCTCGGCCAATGGCGGTGCCACAATCACATCACGTGATTTCAAAGTCCAGTGGCGACGCGTGTTTGCAGCGGAAAAAACATTTATTTCTTATTATTTGGAACCGGAATACGAAACTATCGATAAAGTTTCGGAATGAAAACGGCTAGGCCTATGCACCGAAATACACGCGATGGTGGGAGACGCCGCGACCCAAAGAATCACGCGCTCGAAAATGGCTCAGATTTGCGCTGTTTTCGATCGCAACAAGGGCTTCAAACTCATATCTGACTAATTTCGCAATCATATCCGGTCTTGATTTTTTTTATCCGCAAAAGAGGAAGGTTCAAAGATAAAATGCGGAAAAGTGCTCTGCAATGCTTCTTACCACCACCCGACAGCCTCTGCCTCTTCCTGATTTGACAATCAGGAACAGCCCTATCACAAGGATGCAGCAAACAAAACTTTTGAGAGTCCAGACTTGGTCCGCACCTTCATTTTTCCCCCCACATTGCTGAGGTGCTCTCGCGAGCGCGACGCACGCTGGGCTTCGTACAACGAGTGTCAAGGGGGGCCAGCCCAAAGGCACTGCGGAGTTTATACACTGCACTAAAGCTCCCGCAACTTGAGTACTGCTTGTCAGTATGGAGCCCCAGACAGGTTGTCGCAATTGCCTCGCTGGAGAGCGTACAACAGCGCACGGCCTACGCTATCCTGTGTCGCCAATCACCGCCGCAGCCTGGTACCCTCAAACTTCTCGGAGGTGTGGGGAGGAACTGCCCGTCTGTCCGTAGGCAGGTGGCTTCGCTTCGCCTCCTAGCCTGCACGCAGGGTGGCCCTCCTACACCCCTTCTAGAGTATGTGAGGAAGAACCGCACTAGTAAGCTACAACCCCTCCTTGGACGGACGGAGCGTCACAGAAGCACGCTCCTTCCGAGAGCCATCAAGCTCTGGCGCTCCCTCCCGAGCAACGTTACACGAGAGACATTCAAAAACAGAGAGGGCATAAAAGATTTGTGCAAGTGTGCAACCCACCGTCTCAAAGAACTGTGAAAGTGTGCAACCCTCCATCTCAAAGAACTGTGATGTGACACTCGATCAGACCCAAATCCCAGTGTACAGGGTGTGTCTCTGTTTTTTTTCTGCCTGTCAGAAGAGTTTTTTTTTTTTTTTTATGTATGTGTGTGTGTAGTAGGTACAGCGAGCCTCTATGGCATGGGCAATAGCCTTTTTACTGTCATCCGGGTTTTAGAAACTGAATAAAGCATTATTATTATTGTAATTCAAAACCACTTTTTTTCGATAAAAACCAGTTTTTCGACCCGCATCTTCCTAAGGGCCAGTGAAAAGAAAAAAAAAGATTTTTTTTTTTTAACAGTCTGGTTGGAACACGTGTGTCAAAAAAGTAATTGTATGCAAAAAGAAAATCTTTTTAAGTGCAATATTGACGGCGCGAGATGCGATTTAGTCAGTAGTCACCTCCTTTCCACTTGTTTTCTCTCTTGCCATTTCGAGAGGTGGAGGAGAGGAGGATCGGCTTCGCCTTCCACTGAGGTGGAAAGAGCAAAAGACCATCTATTTAAGGTCGAAAGTGCAAATGACCATTCCACGATGTCATCGACTTTCCCATATCTTCTTTTTTTTTTTCACACTCGTGTCCCAACCAGATTGTTCTTAATTTTTTTTATTTTATTTTTAGGGGCACTTTAAGTTCTGTTGAATTACATTTTCTACTAATAGAAAACTCGAGACCCAAGTATGCATCCGAGTACAATTGTTAGAGTACAGCAAGTCTATGAATATACATAAAGTATGCAGGCAAGCTGTTGGCAGTTTATCCTTATTATTTATTAGTTCTGTGGTGCAGTGGATATGAATACAAACAAGGTGGTTCAATGAAATGATTTAGCTTATGGTCAACTCGCGTCACCGCTCCTCTCCTCCGACCTTGAATCAGGAGAGTCTCTCGCCTCTGGCTCGAAGGCACGCTGGATCCTTCTTATACCCTAGTTACACGGGCCGTTTTAACTGCAGTTAAGCGTAACCGCGGTTAGCTTAACCGCAGTTACCCGCTGTTACACGGCAAACCTAACTGTGGTTGGCCGCTAACCGCAGTTAGCGCAAACTGAGCTTGGCAACCTCAGTTAGGGCTCATAACTGACAAGATGGCAGCGCCCGAAGCAGCAGCGAAGTCGCAGCGCTCGAAATCGGCGCAACCGGGCAAGAAGCGCATTAACTGGCCGGTTGCAATCACCGAGGCCCTCATCAGGATTTGGGAGGACAATTTGCAAGCGTTGCGCTCGAATACGAGAAACGCGGCCATCTACGCCGCAATGGCAGAGCAGCTGAACGCCGGGGCCGGGCTTCGGAGTGGCGAAGAACCATACACGGGAAAGCAAATTCGCCAGAAGCTGGAAAACCTGAACAAACAGTACCGGTGAGTGATGCTTGTGACGATGCACTTCAGATGTTAGCTTTGTTGCGAGACTTGTAATTACGGCGGCGGTCCCGCGTTATGTAGGCTGCTTGACGCACCGGTGCCGGCTCCCTACCTGCCGCAACCACCGGTTCGCGTAGTCCCTGAGTATTTTGTTTCCTCTTAATATATCCAGTCAGGGTTACTAATTATGTTGCACTAGCTCGATAAAATAATGAATTGATAATTTTTGCACAATTAAATGGAAGTTTTCTGTTCTCAAAGCTACATCCAGTATGGTTGTTGACAAATGCATTTTGAAGAGTTTGTTATAGATTTTCAAGCCCTATCATTGCTAGAGCACTAATTTATGCTGCAGCAATATTGCAGACGTTGTTGTTTGCTGTGAGGTTTCGTTCTCTGAAAAGTACTTGTCATATTTCCCATTCCGCATCTGTATTTTTTCTTAAATGTTGATTGAAAACATTGATTCTTTCCAGGAAGCTGAAGCAAAGTGGCACGACCACCGGATCCAAAGGTGTTGAGTGGCCCTTCTACTGGCAACTCCATAATTTCCTGGGGTCCCTGCCCATCAATAATGAGTTCCTGGCGGAGGAAAATGTCGAGGTAAATTGCAACTCCTAGACTAAAAGCAAAGGGTGGAAAGAGCTTACTAGTTAGATTATATCTACAGATGCCGTGAACATTGTCTTCAGACCTGAGGATCAGGCTTCAAACCAAGGGGCTCCAAAGGTCCTAATGTATTCCAACTTTCAAACTTTTCACGTTGAGAAATTTTGCTGTTCTCAAGCCTTCGCATTTATTTTGTCAAGAAACTCAATGAGTTTTGAACTGCAACCTCGTTAGTACGATAGATTTGATAATGTATCAGTCAGGCATGTAACTAACGGGGCCCAGGAGGCCCAAGCGCCCCCCATCAGTTTTACTGAGACCTCCTCTCTCTCTTCCCCCCCCCCCCCCCCCCACCTAGACCAAATCCTGGCTGCGTGCCTAGTATCAGCCTCAACTGGAGCACACCACCATACGCTTGTTTTAGGGGTGCTGGCCTAGTGGCATTCAGTGCAACTGATTAGCCATGTCACCATACGCTTCTTTTAGGGGTGCTCGCCTAGTGGCAATCGGTGCAACTGATTAGTCCCATAAAAATGGTTCCAATGCAGTGCGTTGATAGCCGCGTCCCAATAGAGCGACAGATAGCAACAAACAACAGCGACACACGACAACGAGCGACAGACGACACCGACGGACAGCCTGTTTGTCGGAGTCCGCCGTCCCACCTGGCGGACACGACGCAGAACACGGGGGCAAGGAAACTTTTTCCTAGTGGGACTGGAGTTGTGAGCAAAACACTTCAAAATACACAGACAAACAGAATCTGGCGACGCAGTTTTCGTGTTTTGCTCTTTGGGCATAAAACGCGCCGACAAACACGGTTAAAGTGGAGACAATCATTTTATTTCTTGATTAAAGCTTCCGCTTCTCTTCATTTGCCGTTGGCGACTTTCCGTAAACAGTCATGACAATCGACACCACACTTTTTCCGAACTAGAAATACCCGAACCGTTTCTTTTTTGGGCCGTTCGAGGCATTCTAGGTGAGCGCTACGGAATTTCTTGCCGATTTTGAGGATGCTTATAACTTCATATTCAAATGGTCGAGGTCAGGCGCTCTTTGGTGGACAATACGGCATCCTGATTATCACAGAACGTGACCACAAGTCTCTCGTCTGCCGGAATGGCTTGCCGCGAAACGTCGTGTCCCACCTCGTGGTGAGCGGCCTCTTTGGTCAGTCCTCGAACATGGGTGTAGCCATCCTGATGCAGGGGCGTAGACTTCGGCATCTTGAAGCACCGCCTCGCGCACCAAGTTTTCGCGAGCAAAACCAGCCACAGCGAATTCCCTTTTGCAACACGATCGCCCGGCACCAGCCAGCAAGCCGCGCAAGCGACCACTACGTGCAATCGAGAGACCGGAACTGCGCGGTTGGGAACGAGGTTTGGCCGCCAAGGGCTTCTTGTTCCGGGAGGAAGGGTAGAAGGGTGGCAAGGGAGGCAACAGAAGGCATAAACGGGCGAGGAGGATAAGTTTGTCTCTGAGAGATGTTCCTCAGTGGGACTGCTTGCTGCGCTTCAAGTCCAACGACAGACAAGAACTCGTCCGTCGTCGATCGTTTGTCGGTGCTTGTCGGCGAAATGTCGCGGGTGTTGGTCGTTGCAGTGGGACAGCCTCGGCGACACGGAACTTTGTGGTGTCGCCGGACAAAAAACGGTGTTTGTCGCTCTAGTGGGACGAAGCTATGATGGACTACGGTAGCTCTTCAGATAAGATTTTGTGGAAACATTGCCTTTTCTTATGTTTTAGCGTGTCTTTGTGCTGTGCCCTGCATTACACCGCTTGTCTCTAAAATGAAATAATAGAACCATTCCAATCGTTGCATTGTTCACCAGAGCATGCTTAACATACCAGGTGTTTTTTTTTATTTGCACCATATTTTCAAATAAAGAGCAGCAATATGTCGGTGGGACTGCCCCAAAAGAGCTAGGAAAGGTGCCGAGATTAGTTCTTATTTGCTTCAAGCCTGCCCAGCAGTCCAGGAACAAGGATAAGTTGTGTGAAGAACGAGAACCAACCCACAATCGCCGCCTCTGTGTGAAGCAGAGACAAGTGATTTGATAGACCTGCTATTGCAAAATTATTGATTATTATTTCATCACACATGGATGCTACAAACTACTGGGACTGCTTTTTGAGCGGCTTCACATTAAAACTACAACGGCTCCTAAATCATGTAGTCACAATGGTAGCACTGCTACTCTGCAGGCCTACAAGTACCTGTTAGTTTATAGGGTATATGAGGTATGGGTATGAGGTCAGACAGAAGCGTCTGACCGGACATAGTGAGTCGGGAGTGGCCTCCAGTTACAACAGTCGATAACCCTGTACCTGCAGTTTACCCTGAGCCAATGCTCAGGGTAAACTGCAGGTACAGGGTTATTGACTGTTGTAATTGGAGGCCAGTACGGGTAAACTGCAGGTACAGGGTTATTGACTGTTGTAACTGGAGGCCACTGCCGACTCACTATGCCAGGTCAGACGCTTCTGTCGCATCCGATGAATTGTGCAGCCCTTGGTTGCCATAGCACCTGATATTAGCACTCTTTTGCAGGCGGTCCTAGCGCAGGCGGTCGTAGCGCTAAACCAGAATTTAGCCTTCATGCTACAGGACCTACACAGTATACATTGCTAGAAGTCAAATTTGGGGGTTTTACGTGCCAAACGAACGACGGGCATCTGGCACACGCCAGCGGAGGACTGAGAATTATTTTGGACCACCTACGGATCTTTATGACGTGCAACCGAAAGCTCGGTCACACGGTGCCTTCTCCGCAATAAGCCTCCGTCAGATTGCGGGCATCTCGGCCGGGATTCGAACCCGCCACATGGGGATCCGTAGGCCAGCGCTCTTGCCCCGGAGACACCGAGGCGGCATATACATTGCTGCATGCCACACCATTCCCTCAACATATAATATTAAGGGGACTCCAACCTATGCTAGAAACAATGCATGACAGTAACTTTTGGTATTATGGGACGCCACGGCTCTTGCCCATGCCCCATCGCTTTTGTACAGCGCTGTTATACGTCTTCTTTCCGGGTGCTGAACTACAACCTAAGGTACAGACTGTATGGTTCAAATCGCTAGCCAGCTTTTAACTGGCTCGTGCTGGTGCTGGTGGCCTGTAACGTTGGCTCTGGTCCAGTGTAGTGTGAGGCAAAGCATAGCTGGGTGCACTATTTTGAAAAAGTTAGGTTGGTATACAGTATGCAGGCCACAGATTGTGCAGTTAGTATGCTCGGGTCAAGCTGCAGCCGGGATTGAGTTGTGTTAGGAGAAATTTTGTTGTGGCGTGATATCGACGTGTTGTCTTCGCTGTTTTGTCATACACAGGTGCCACTAGTTGATGAGATTGCAGATGATGCCGAGGTGGTTGTCTCGTGGGACCAGGACGACGACAATGACGATATGCCTCACGAGGACTGCACCATGCCTGGAAGTGGCAATGAATCTGCGCTGGCTCATTCCCCAGGCTCGCAGAGTGTGGGCCTGACTGATGGTGCAAGCCCCAGCAGCAGCTACTTAACCACTAGTGGCAGCAGCGGTACAAGTACTAGCTTTGCCACGAGGAAAAACAAAAGCCGCAAGCGGCCAGCTGCCTCCCTTATGCAGCAGCTCCTCACCATGCATTCCGAAGAGACAGAACGAGCTGCAAAAATGGAGAAAAAAAGGTTGAAGAGGCAGAAGGAGCTGCTGTGGCTGCAAAAAGAGTCAAACGATATGCAGGCTAGCATGCTTCGAATGATGGAAGCATACTTTGAATCGAAAAAAAATAAAAAGTAGGGCTATGTTGCCAAAGGGTCGCAAGACGAGCTAAACTTTTGGGACTATAACGAATGGGATTTCTGATGCTAAAGCTTGCGCCCACTCGCATGCACCACTTGTTAAAGCTTGCGGTTGGTGCGCAGCCGTCAGGAGCAGGCGAACGCTCATGATTGTAGCGCCTTTTTCTGTTCCTGCAGACTTGGGGAAAACTGGGATAACGAAAATATCCTTGTTTTTTTAAGGTTATGGCAATGACTCAATTTGATGGATGAAAGGTGTACAAACATTCTTGTGGGAAAGCTGGGTGGCTATGAAGTTCTCATTACTCTTGGAACATCAGGTTCTCTGATGGCAATACACGAGGGATGCATTAATGGCAGCTACTGAGTGTTTGTTTGGTCCACAGGCTGACATATTTAGCACGGATGAACAACACTCTTCCACATGAGGCCACAACGTAACTGCACTCAATGGGTCGTCTCCATTGTATCTTGACAAGAATGTCGTTAAAACTGGTCGTAGAATCAGTGAAACGCACCTTAAAAAAATATTTGTCGTTTGCCGTATCAAGTGCACCTTGACTGTAGTGCAAGAGCAGGTCAGCAGTTGTAGGAACCCATCTTGACAGTGGTCTGCCCTGCTGACGCAATTCTTTACATTGATTCGTTTGTAATAAACTTTCTCTCGAATCGAGACGCCCCTGGCGCCTTGATTCAGTGAGAAGATTCCACGAAATGAATTCTGGATACCAGTTAGCACCTTAGTTTCGGTTTCAGTTTCAGATATTTGCCATAATTATTGTGTCCTGACGAAACTTGCTGCTTGTGTTTTCGCGGCTGAAGCATTTTGCACGAGTGCAATACTGTATGCGTTTCCAAGCAATTTCAAAAAGTGCTGGCCACTGCATTACTGGTTCCCAGCTTGCCAGATTTTGGGCAAAAGTAAGCAAACTTAAAACACTGAAGTACAAGCGTCCCGGCTTGCCGGCCTTGGTCAGTCATAACGACGGACAGACATTCAAAGCAAGCCACCCAGCCACTGACAAAGGCCTTGGCGATGGTGTCTGCTGTAGTGTTCTATGCAGTGAGCAAATAGGTTGATCTTTGAGATGGTGATAGGGACCCCACTATTTCCGTGAGCACATGCTTAAAACATGCGTTAAGCAGCGGGAGTGACTGAAGCAGCACACTTATGTGTCAGTCTACGCACATTGGCACTAAACAAATCTGCAAGTCCTGAGATGAACATCGGCATTGATTGTGGGTCAGGCGTAATGCTCAAGAGCCGCTGCATTGCTCGGATGCCAGGGTGGCTTGAATTGTGAAGGAGGTGAAACAGTGCACTTGTAATTAGATTGTACATATGTTCGGGGAATGTTACATGTGCTGCTGTTAATGAAATATGCATGCAGAGTTGGACAAGCTGCAATAATGACGACTTTGAAAAGCAGTCAAACCAAAAACCTTGTACCAAGAATAATTCAGATCTCTATTATGCTTTGAATATATGTGAGACTCCCCAGATCATTTCCTTTATGCATGTTCCTTCGTCCCAGTTTGAGTGTTGAGCATGTCGGGTAATGCTACAATGATCACAATGTGGAAATATACTCAAGTCATTAAAAAAAAAGTATATTCATTCACAAAAAAATCAAGTCGCAAAGTCAGGATTTCCTCGGAACACTTTAAGATTTAGACCTACCTTGGTTCCAAAGCGGCCACGCTTTGCTGTGGCCGCTTTGGAACCAAGGTAGAGAGAGTAGTGCGGCTGCATCTCTGCTCTGCTCTCTGCACCTTGGTTCTAGGAGCGGCAACCATGTAGCATCACGGTAGGCTCCAATGATACTTGCCGCACGCTCAGATATTCCCTCTCATACAGTTCGCGATAGTACCATCTCAAACAGCACAACACAGCAGGGCCACACAGGCACAGAAGCCAGCCATACCAAACTGTTCAGTTTGCGGAAAAGTATTTCGCAAGGGCATTCCTAACTTCCACTCCTGATGGCTCCTCCACGCTGGTGAAGCGGACTGGCTGGGGCCAGTTCTTGTCGTCGCTCTGCACCGTGTCGAGCCAGTTCTTCTCACAGCGATCATTTAGCTGCTCACATATGTTGTGGAGCACACAGCACGCGCGAACAATGGTGTTCACACTCTCGATGTCCGATTCCAGTCCCTTGTGAAGGATTCGAAACCGCGCCTTGAGCCGACCAAATGCGTTCTCTACGACTCTCCTGGCACTGGAGAGACGGTAGTTAAAAGCCCGTGTGGGGGACCCAACACTACCAGGCTGCGGGAAGGGTTTCATCATGTGGCACTGCAGAGGGAAAGCCTGATCTGCGAGAAGGACAGGGCCAACAGAGATCCCTTCAAAGGTTTTGGCTTCTGACCGTAACAGATCGCCAGCCAGGACGCCCGGAAGCCGTGAGCGCTGGAATACAGCTGAGTCGTGATTCCTCCCAGGTGATCCAACGTTTGTGTACAGGAACCTGTATGCGTGGTCGGCTACAGCCAAAAGAATGGTGGAATACCACCCCTTATAATTATGATAGTCTGAGTCATGATCCTTCGGAGGGCACACCTCGAGGTGGCAGCCGTCCAAGGCCCCCACCCCTTGAGGGAAGCCTGCAACTGCTGCAAATTGGCGCAGGTGTTCAGCCAAGTCATTGGGTCGAGGGAACTTGACAAACCGTGGTTCAATGCGCTGCACCAGAACTTCACAAAATTCTCTGAAAATGTTGTTGACGGATGACCGGCTGACGCCGAAAAGATTTGCGACAGTTCTGTCTTCTGCCGAGGTCGCCAGGCGATACAAGGCAATAGCCACACGCTTCTCCGGAGGGATAGCTTGACGCATGTTGGTGTTGTTTTGTCTCATACACTCGCATACGCTTACTACGTACCGGAAGGTGCTGCGGTCTAGGCGGAAGTTCTCCCTAAACGTGCTCTCAGGAAAGTATGGGAGCGTTGTCTCGTACCAAGACCTGGCACGGGGATACGCCCACACATGCCGCTCGCGGGAGCAGAGTCGCGCAGCCGCTAGCACAAGCCGGTTGCGCCGTCTCTCAGCGTGTTTCTGCTCCGAGAGCAGTTCGTCGATCTCGGCGAGTACACTTTGCTCCAGCATACGTCGCCGTTGAAGCACGGCTTGATGAGCGGCGAACATCGACCAGAAGTTGCATTCGTCCTCATCGTCCAGCACAGGATTGTTGAGAGTGCTCAACGCCATTCCACGTTACGGCGTGCAGATGCAAACCTCACTGACGGAGGGGAATACAATACACAGCAACGTGGCTCCGACGAAGATACGAAGCACGTGAGACCAAAGCGACAGAAACAAAGCCGGTCAATGGTCAACCTGAGCTACCCTACCTGAGCGAACCGGAAGCCGGAAGCGATGGATTGTTTCGGCTGTCGTGTCGGCTAACCAATTTAAAGCAGTCGATCACTACCAGTGTTAGCAGGCTGACTTTGTATTTTACCGAAAGCTGAACAGCTAAACGAACATATTTGACCACGAACTGTCTTAAATAACCACAAACTGATTATAACTTGAATCAACTTTTGAAACTAATGTTTTTTTTTTTTAAAGTTCAGTCGCATAAATCATGAGTATATTTTCGCCTGGACGGCAACCACGTGATCGTCCACATAGGCTGACTGAGAAGAGGACTTCCGTGTAACACACGCGCACCGCGGTTACCGGTAACTGCAGTTAGCGCCCGTAACCATAGTTTGCCGTAACTGCAGTTAAGGGTGCCCGTGTAACTAGGGTATTAGATGATGTGTTGGTCCCTGAGCGCTCTCAATTCAGTGGAAGCGAAAGTGACAAAAATGCTCACATCTTCCATTTGCCCTCTGGATACCATCAGAACGACAAATGTCTCAGACTCCGAGCACCCCTTGCGTTCTCTAAATCAAGGATCGACGCCACATGAGCAATATGAAGTACAAATTTATATTCTGTTATTTGCAGCTGTGTGCAGCAATTAAAATGGTGGGGGTGGGATACCAAAATACGCACATAGGCCACAGAGAACTTGAAACATTGAAGAAAACATTAAAAAGTTTGTTTTCCTCAATCTGTTTCATCGCAAACAAAAAAGTAACAGCTACTTTCTAAGCAGATAGCTATATATTTTTTCATTCTCCTAAAGCTATATATCTGTGTATAAGTTAAATATCCCTACTTTTAGTCTTTAAAACCACGTTGCACGAAATTTCCAAATGTCTTGTTATTACGGGAGATTTGGTGGCCAGATGCGTTAACTCAGCACAAGCGAAAAGGGGATTTGCAAGTTAGAACAAGAACTAAACAAAACAAAAGACATCACAGAGATCTACGAGGTCAAGAGACCATTCAGGAGATATCCCCAGCTCTCAATTGGCCAGGTCGAACCAGACATGACAGCAGAGGAGGTGCGCAGTGCAATTCTCGAGCAGAACAAAATAGAGGGAGACTGCGAGGACATTACTGTCACCCGGACCTACATCCAGAAAAACGACAAAACACTGTCATAGTTGAGGTAACTCCCCCTGTCTTCTAACAGCTAAAGAACAGGGAAAAGATTACCTATGGATGGACAGTGTGCCCTATCCGAGAAAACCTACACATTACAAAATGTAACAGTTGTGCAGGCTATGGACATCCTACAAGGGCGTCTGAAAACCAAGAGCGCTGCACAGAGTGTGCAGGAGAACACGTGGCAGCCCAATGTGGAGATCCTGTCAGGCGCTGTGCAACATGCATACAAAGTAACAGTGAGTGGGGAACCACGTACATCGAACACAGCTTGAATCACAGATTACATGTATTCAAGAACCATATTACCTTAAAAATAAAATTATTGGATTTCCACTCACAGATTCCATCATTGCTCATCCGACCAAACCAAGAGTAGCCAGAATTATCCATTCTAAAGCGTTCGATAGATACACAGAATCTATCCAAAGAGACTATATAGCCGTTCGCCTATCATCCGAAACAATCAACTGCATCCTAATCAATATCTACGCTCC